TGTTAAGTTTATATATATATATATATAACCATGCTACAGAAAGTGAGGAAATTTGGCACCCTGCTAGATCGAACTACACGGAAGGTCCCTATCGATATTAGAACATTTTACGACGAACAGTTCGAGTGGGATGAGCGAAAAACGAAACGAAGTCTTCTGATTGGTAAAGCATTAATCATTGTTTTAAATTTTATTATAAGCGATTCAGTTTTTCAAATATTTTAAAGATAGCATTAGTGATATTTTCTAGTCTATAACTCAAAAACCGTTTATACGTTTATTTGATCAAAAAGAGTTTATTGCATTTACCTTAATTTTTTATTATTTTTTATTCGCTATGTCAATTAGCAATCTATAAATTCAATGAACAACATTAACGTGCTTGCATTTTTGGATTACGTCACCAAATTAAAATTTATAAAATTATCTGATACCACATGTCTTTTTTTTCCTTGGTAATACTTTTAAAATGTATTTCTCTGAAATCAAACAATTTAAAACCAACAGTTATTGAAATGATAATAATTCCATCAAAATCAAAATTAATGGAAAAAAATACTAATTCGCTTATGAGAAACTTAAACATTTGCCATTTATTGAAATCAATGATTGTTGCTAATGAAAATAATGATTGTTAAATTATTAGGCAACATGTATAGGTGATATATATATAAATAAAAGAAATAAGTTATATACTAAATTAATGGAATTCAGGTACTTATTCATTTAGAGGAAACTTGAAAAACTACCATAATATTATTGACGACAATGATAATTAATGTTGATAATATGTATTAATTGAAATGAATAAGTACCCTATCTACCAAAAAAAAAAAGTAAACAGAGAAAATATACTTAGTCATTTTGAAGATATTATTATTTACCATATTATTATTGATACCAATGCATAATTGATATTGGTAATATGTTTCAGTTAAAATAAAAAATATAAGTTACGTTCTAAAAATCTAAGTTAATGAAGAAAAAGTTAATGTGAAAATCGCCTGGAGCAGATGACACTTAATTTTGGCAGTACTGCTGAAATTATGATAATTGGTGCAGTTTTAATAAGAATTCTACAACAGAATTTCTGTAGTTTCAGAAAATATTTTCCAGTGGTGGCAAAGATATTGTATTAATATATTAATGAATTTAGAATCAAAATAACTTTTTTCCACCACTTATAAAAAAAAAATTACAGTAAATTAAGATCAAATAGAGAATTAGTTATACTCAGATGTCCTCATCAAGTTCTTATAAGAATTCAATTTATTTTTAAAATCATGACTTTAGTTTGCTGCCATGTATAAATGTATTTCGCAAAAAACTCAAACGTTGAAGGTTATGAAATAAGTACCAAATATACCATTATTGCTATAAAGTATTTATATTGATATATTTGCTGATTATTAAAACTGCACCAATACTATTTAGTTTTAATACCAATACTGTGGGAATACGTGCCTTACGGCCAATTGAAAGGGACATGTACAAGATAAATTTACTTGATAGTGGTCAATTTTGAATATCATCAGTTAACCATCATCACGCATCAAATATCTTCACGCGAAGTGATGCTAAATGCAGTTAATCTCTATTCTGATGGGATGAACTATGAATCATGCGTTTTGCTTGACATAATAATGTAAAGATATCGGAAAAGTAATAAATAAACAAAATTGATTGAGTTAGTAAATTGAATAGGAATCGATTTGTTCAAAATGGATCATCTAATCTTCATTTCGTATTTTTTCTCATTTTCATGTTTTAATGATTCGCATATAGTAATTATTAAAATAAATTGTACTAAGAAAGATTAGCGTGTAACTATTATTCGAAATAAGTGAGGGTATAACTAAAAATTCTGTATTAGTAAATCATAATTAGAAATAAATATTTAGAGAATCAAAGATGTGAATAGCAATTAGAAATATGCAGCAAGTTAATTGTAATAAAGGATGAGAAATTGTAATGTAGAATTTTAATTAGAAATACTGAATTAGTGTATCTGTAATTGAATCAACAATTTCGCGAAAACACTATATTTGCCAGATAGTGGATCTTCTTATTTTCAAGACTGATTCAATTAGAAATTAAGTCCGCAATGAATTAGTGAATTGAAACTAGAAATAGTAAATAGCGTCATCAATTAGCCAATCACTGTTACTCAATCACGTCGTGCCAAATATGCAAATTCTGGTTGAGTTAAATAAAGCAATGTAAATCAAAGATTATATAACAGTAAAACACATAATAGAAGAAAAAGAATAATTCTCAAAATCATTTCAATTCTTTTCCCTTTTAGTACTAAATCTTTCTGCAAGTATCTCGAAGATTTTAAGGAACAAGGCGAGCCACTTTTTCCAAAAGATGTTCCATATGGTTGTCCCATGAAACCTGGAACGTTCGGCGGAGATAATATTGAAATACCAATTCCAGATATGGGCACGATCGCACGTTTTATTGTAGGGGTAAGTGCATCGTAACATTGAGACTTAAGACTGTAGTTTATTTTTAGATTTTGTGCCTACCAATGTTCGTATAGCATGAACATATTACGACAAAATTAATCATTAATTTTAGTATAGACTCGATTATTATAAAATCCAGCTACCTTTAAATTAATCTTTTTTTTCCGAACTAATCAAGTATATTTGAATTGCAAAGAAACAGAAACTTATACTCGCTAGTAAAAAATGTTTTAATTAACCAAAACTTACTTTAGTACTTTTAAGAACAAACAAAATCACTAAGCCTAACTCACGCCCATTTTACCCCATCTTGAAGAATTTCTAATCATGAAAAAGAAAATGAAAATTTTTCTCACCTGACTGGCATCAAGTGTTGCCTAGACTGTCTTTCTAATATATAAATATCCAAAGGAGCAAAATAAAATTATTTTCTTTAAGATAATCAGAAGTTAAAAAACCATTTGAATTTTCGTTTACATTCTGCAGCTTCAGAATAAATTTTCATGCGTTGCCACTTTTGAAGCGACGTGACGCTTCACTTTCATGAAAACAAATTTTGTTGAGAATGAAATCATGAAACAAAAAAATGTTGTAAACATGCTGAGAAATATTACAAAAAAAACAAGCTTTTAAAATTTTTTTACTTTATAATATTAGTTTTTTGTTTTTGTTAAAGTTAACCATTTTACCCCAAGACCCATTTTACCAGATCCTACCCTATCGTATGTATATTTTACCAACATTTGTACCAATTTGAAAATTTAAAAAAAATGACCATATTTAATGATATTAATGTATTTTTTGAAATAATGAGTATACGTAATTGTTTATTAAAGCCATGACACAGTGTTTTAAAAATTATTTTATCAATTACAGGGAAAATACAGAACGGAACTTCAATTGGTTGTGGAAGGCAAAGTAACCGACTGTTTTAAATTTTGGACAGAAATGCATTGAACAAGATTTTAATGAATATTTACAAATGAACTCTACATGCTAAAACACAAAGAATAAATAACAAGTTTTTAAACAAATGTTTAATAAATTATTGTACGACATTTTATATCATGCTTCATGATACACAAACAATGATTACAGATTTCATGAGTCAGTTTGTCAGTGAAAGATTCAGTGAAAGTGTCATTAAGGAGCTGAGTTATTTTGAATTTCAGTTGGCTGTAGCAATTATTGTACACTGTATAAAAATATCGGTTCAAATTATGGTGACTTTTTACCGTAAAATTCATTTTCACCGTAAGATTCTACGGAACAAAAAATTTGATATACTGTAATTTTTACAGTTATATTATTTTTGTAAAATCACTGAATCACTGTAGTTAAATAATTATAACTGTAAGATATACGGTATAAAATTTTATGGTAAAAATTGATTTTACAGTAAAATTAATGTTACGGATTAATACACCCATCGTGTTGGTACTTTTTATCATAATTTGATGTAGAATTTTTTGCAGTGTACTAGAGCAGGAATGTTGTTGTTAATTTTAAAAAAAAGCAATTGAAAATATATTGAAATTAGAAATGGGTCAAATTTAACTTACTTTCGAAATTTTATATGAAAGGGCTCTTTTAAAATTTGCACTGGATATTTTTATATTGAATAAAGTATACTTTGAGGCACAATATAAAATTTTAGAAGGAATTAATTTTGTTATGAAAATTGTTTGTAGACAAAGAAGACCCAAGTTTTGGGTCTGTTGAAAAATTAAGTAAGCAACTAAAGAGTATAGTGTAGTAGCATTGCTTACTTAAGCAATTAAAATGGATAGAGCTGTAGCTTTGCTTACTTAAGAGAATATTTTTCCTTTATTGTAGAAGAATTCCTCTAAAAATTGCGAAAAAAATGTCTTTTTTTGAAGACAAAGTAAGGGTTTGTAATTTTTTTACTTTTCCTGATAAAAAAGAGGGCATAAAGTCAACAAAAATGTGCTTACGTAATATTCAAATTGCTTTTCCTCTCACAAAAGTACAAAAATAATTTTTTTGAGCATTCATTATCGTCATATTGCTAAAAACATTTCCATAAAATATTTTTTTAATATTAAAAAAATTATTTTGAATTTTTTTCTTAAATCACCTGAAAAATATAACTTAAACAAAATTGCTAAATGACGAAATAACACCAAGAACATTTTGGAATAAACAAAATGCTTACTTGAGAGAGCACAATGAAGAAGAAAAGGGTATATAGTTTTTTTTAATTTTCATCTCAAAATATTGCTTATAAAATGTTTTTTCTAATGCAATACTTTGTTTAATTTGAAAGAAAAGTTTTTGTAAAAATTGTGGTATCAACGGTATTTAATAATTAAGTAGAATACATAGCGTAATTCTCTTTTCAAAACAAGAATCAATATTAATTTCGAACTGCGAAAACAATTAAGAATGTGAGATTCTCTTTTTTTCTATTTTAAAACAATTATTCAATCTTACTCTAGATATATTCAGAAAAAAATTTGCTTTTCATACCATAGTGGATTTAGAATTTTTTTTGCGCTTGTAAGAAATTTCTTCTTATAAAGTTTAGTTGAAATTTGTTTCTGAAAGATAAAATCTTCAATCCACTAAGATATAAGCTTAAGAAAAAACAAATTTCACTTAGTATAGAGTGCATTATAATTATTATAATATTTTCTTCATAATTATATAATTGAACATCGGTTGTTCAAACATTCATTTAAAAAAATATCAATGATATTTATCAGCTATTATATAAAAATGAATTTTCTAAAAGTTATTATAAACCATATTTATGTGACGCAAATTTGCAACTCCAAACTTTAAACAACTCGACGTCTGGTTAAAAACTAGTGATTGATTTTACATCGAAAATTCAGTTTTTGCGAAAAACTCCCTGAATGTTATCAAATATGCAAGAAATATATTTTCAATTTTATTGTAATTTAAGTTTATGAAAAACTCATATAATTTATATGCGTTGTGATATGACTAGATATGTGCGAAAGTAGTATTAGACAGTCAATGAATAAAGAGGAAAATGATATTTCACAGAAACTATTAAGCGAAATTATAGAAATTATAAAATGGTTAAGTTATTTATAGCATTTCTATATTAACCACCACGGAATGCCATTTGTCATTGAAATTTTTTGACTACTTTTTGAACCAACCTGGAATAATTTTCGAATTTCATATTGGATGAAGGTGGTTACGTACATAAGTGTGGTCAAAAGTTTTTCACTTAAAGTATTTCTTTTTTAATGAAATAATTCAATAGGTAGGACAATGAAAAGGTCATTTTAAAATTGTCTTTAAATGAGCAGAGGTACAGAATTAAATTACTTGAACTGCATAGTCAGCAGAAGTTTCATTTTTTTTAAAAATTGGGTACTTGCACTTCACGAAGAAGACCACGGATACCCACACATGTAACCTACAACGTCAGCGCTAGCTGATCGCTTATAAGCAAAATGTCATGTTAAAGTTGTGTTAAGTTTCTCCTCATAAGTAAGAATGTTAATTAATATGAAGTTAATTAAATACAGTGCCGTATCACACATCGAATTTATTGAAGTATAATTCTTTCTCTTCTAGGTCTTTTACTTAACTTAGATTTATAATTTGTTTATGTATTTTATTATAACCGTGATGTATTTTTGTTTTGCATACCTAGCTTCTTCGATGCATAATTAGTTTGTTTATGTGCAACATGCTGTCTTTGCCTGTCTTTGGCTTTATGCCTGTCTTTGCGTTAAGTAAGAAATATATAGTGAAAGAATTTAAACCTTTGTGCAAGAATATCGAATGCATCATTTAAGAGAATTGATGCTTAGCTTACTCGAAAGGAATAGTTGCTAACGTAAACAAACGCCACGCTTCAACAACTAATCAGGATCGAGAAAACCACACTACGTCACTTCCAAGTACCCCATTGCTGTATCAAGTGATATTTTCTCTCAAAAGCCTTGTTAAAGTCAAAAAGAAGAAAAAAAAAATCAGATTTGAGGATTTTTAAGCTTAAGCTCTTTTCCGATGTTGACCTATTCATTGTTAACGTGAAATAGAATGACAGAACAGTTTTCCATTGATTACTTTCTCTTTATTTGAGCATTGAATAGTCAATAATCTGCATCATTTATGCTTCGGATACTTGACGAGGCATTCTATACTTGTTATCCTTTATTTATGTTGCTAGAAAATTTGTCAAAAATAAAAGTAGAAGTATGCACATTAACGGTTGCAAATTATTATACAATCGAAAAGAGAAAAAAAACGTTATTAAAATCTTATCAATCACTATTTCGGAAAAAATAAGCAAAACCAGTTTGATTATTGCATGAAATTTTAACGTATTTTTAACAATTGCCATTCACCTCCGCCCAGAATCTTCCAGCTATCTAACAGATATTCATTTATTTTGAATATTGCCTTCATCTTTAATAATTCCTCAATTTATTTTTGACCTTTTTTCTTGGGTTTTAATTAGAGACTCACAATGTGTTTGATTTTCTAAAACTATTTTTCGACAGGAATTTTAAAATCGTATATTCGGGGTGCAGATTGTGGAACATCTCGTTTCCAAGATGGTGTTCCTCACACAGGCATTCTCGTAGGATCGTAATGTTGAATTTTGTCGCTAGATTGACAACATAAACAGTGTAAAAGAGCCTTAACCATTTTAGAGCAGAATTTTTAAGTTTAAATAAATGAAATCTGTGAAATATCCTCGTATTTATCGACTTCTAACACATCTGAATAAAACTAAAGTGAATCTAGTACCCTAAAAATACCAATGAAACCACAACATCGCGCTCTCAGATGATCAATAACCACACACGCATCTGTCAGATGATCCATGATATTTGAAAATTCACACATGACACAATAGTTAATGATTTTCGTGGGTAAAATGCTTTTGTGAACGGATATTCTTTTTAGTCCCATGTACTGGGGTACAGTTCGATAGAGTTGGCGAGCCCCTGTCCACATTACCCAGTTTTGCTCGAATTTGGCTCCATCCTCTCCAGGGAGTACTTGGTACAGACACATCACAAATCCTGTTTTATCGGAACTAGGTTTTTCTGGGAATGTACAAGGTGGTGGCCGGGATATCGTAATAGCCTCTTCATAAGCAGCTGAAGATGAAAAAAATGGAACTTTAATCAGTTTATTAACTACAGTTTTAACAAAAATGAATGACTGAATTTTAATTATTTATTTTTTCAAAAATATTAAAACAATTACTGCTCAACCATTGATACATGAAATAATCAACAATTAAGAGATTAACAATATAATAACAATAGCATCAATATAATTACAACAATAATGAGGAGGAGAATCACTCAACAATTGATACGCGAGTATCAATTATTGTTTGTAAGACAGCAAGTGCTTTACACTGCTTAACATAGTGCTGTTTAGTTTTTTGCTTCGCGTTTTGTTTAGTTTTTTGCTCTTTAAGTTACTTTAATGGTATTTATATTAGTGCTGCTTAACTTAGTATTGCACTGCTTAACTTAGTGTTTATTTTGGAAAGTGTTCTACACTGTTTAACTTAGTGCTGCTTGTTGTTAGTGAAACAGCAATTGTTTTACGAAATTAAAGAAAAATATAGAAAAAAAAATTTCAGTTTCAAATGTTCCATGTGTGACCATTTCGTGAGTAGAGGAACATCTAATCTGTAATTAATTTCTATTCACACATTTTGTAGTTTTATACTGTTAATGTTACAAATGTGTTCTTTAAGTATTTGCAGTGTTCTTATCATCGGTGGCTCTTAAACAGTGCTTTGATAACGCGTGTGACAATGACTTACCCTAAATTGCATGGTCATAAAGATCCCCAGGCATGATTTTTCAATCCAGCGGCGTTTAGCGACCCGCACTCCTGTTCGGCATTTTAATAAATAAAATAAAAAATGATTCTTAAATTTTTTTTAGTTCAAGTAGGAAATTTTAAAAGAAATAAAAGCTTGCGTTATAGTTTCAACTACAGCCAGGTGAAAACTCTCTAAAAAAGAGAACGACACAT